AATAATTTCTCGGTTACATGGTCAATCAACAAAGTATTGAAGCAAACTTCGACAAAATTTAGGCTATTATAAAAATATGGTTCCCATATAAGCCAAAAAAGGTAGAAAGTCTAATGGGAAGGGTTACTGTCATAGGTAGGTTTGTATCACAAGCAACGGATAAATTTTTTACTTTCTTCGGAGTGTTTAAAGGAAAAAAAGAAGTTCAAATGGAGTAGCGAATGCGAACAAGCATTCAAAGGCTCTGAAAAATCATTTAGGAAGAGTACTCTTATTAGCTAAACCTAAAAGTGGGAAAAACTATTACTATATTTAGAGGTTTTCAAAGTGGCGTTAGTTCGGTATTGATAAAAGAAGAATAATTACTAGTCTACTATGTAAGTATGGCCTTACAAAAAACAGATACAATATATTCGAATATGGAAAAGCTGGCCTTCGCCTTGGTCACAACGTCGTAAAAATTGTGACCCTATTCCAGAGCCACAACATTAAAGTACTAACCAATTTTCCACTAAAACAAGTATTACAAAAGCCTATGAATCAGGAAGACTAATGAATTGGAAGTGGAGCTGTGATAATTTGAAATAAGCTACAAAGGATGATTTGCAATCAAAGCATAGACATTGGTTGACTTTATTGTAAAATTGTAAGATGTTCCCGTTTCAGAGTAAGAGCTTGAACAGAAAACGTGAAAATTATTTGTAGATGGATCATAAGGAGAAAAGGGGTTCTGAAGCGGGTATAATCCTGACAAGTCCAGAAGGGCATAAGTTGATTTGCGTATTGAGGTTTGCATTCGAAGCAACCAACAATGTTGCTGCATGTGAAGCTTTATTGACAGGACTATAGCGGGCAAATAAATTTAGGCTCAAACATCGATGTAAAAGGCAACTTGCTGTTGGTAGTGAATCAAGTGAACGAAATGTTCACAGTCAAGGATAAAACAATGACTGCTTATCTCTCCAAAACAAAAGAGCATTACAGTGCTTTCACAAGTTTGAACTCATTCAAATTCCTAGAGAGGAAAATGAACACCCTTATACCTTTTCAAAATTGACAAGTTCCAAGGATGCGGAACTGTTTAAGAAATTAGCGAAGAATTGCTATCAAATCATTGGTTGGCAAAAAAGGGAGGAAACCCTATGGATACATTAGAATATCTCGTGGATGCTGGACATCATCTCTTATTTGAAAAGTAGAACACTCCCTACAGAAAAAAAGGCTACACAAAAACTGTCAGTAAGAGCTGCAAAATATACACTATAAGGTGATATCTTATTCAAGTGAGGGTATTCACTCCATCTACTCGGAAGTATAGACGAAGACGACACTTTATACGTAATGAAAGAAATCCATGAAGATATATGTGGAAACCATGTTACTCGACATTCCTTGGTGCGAAAGTCCTTGAAACAAGGTTACTATTGGTCTAGTATGAGAAAAGATGTAACGAACTTAGTTAGAATATGTTTAAAGTGTCAAAAATTCGCATGTTATACCATGATGGACCGTACAAGAGCTAGTGACCAGTAGTGTCCCCTCCCCCTTTACCAAATGATGAATTGATTTCACTGGCCCACTGCCCAGGGAAAGATCCAATATAAGATTTATAATCATGATAGTAGACTATTTTATTAAGTGGGTAGAAGTCGAGTCCTTTGTACATATCACTAAGTCTAAGACATGTAATTCATATGGAAAAATATTATGTATCGATTCGAAATACCAAACTCTATAATCTCAAATAATGGCAAGCAATTCTAAGGAAAAAAAATTGAGAGCAATGTACAACAAATTTGGTATCCAAAGATATTTCTCCACTCCATATTATCTCAGGCCAACAAACAAGTAAAAGTTGTTAATAAAACATTAAAAAAAAAGCCTAAAAAGGAAGATAGATATAGTGAAGGGGTTATGGATCAATGAACTACCTAAGATCTTATGGTCATATTGAACCATCTCGAAAATTGATATAGGATAAACCCCTTTCTCCCTAGCCTATGGGATGAAAGTCATGATACCAGTCAAAATTGGTATTCGTTCACCAAGAAAACTAGGATATAATGAGGAACCAAATGAAGAATCTATGAAAGAGAACTTAGACCTCTTAGAGAAAAAGCCGGAGATTCACATACGAGAAGAAGATGGAAGTCTCTTTCAATTCCAAGGTTTGTGCAAAAACTTCAAAGTGAGGGTTTTAGTCCTAAAGAAAGTATTTGTCGCATACAAAGAAATAAGCTCTAGTTTGCTTGGTCCGAAATGGGAAGGACCATATAAATAGTTGCAGTTGTGGGGTTAGGAACATATGAGCTCATGCGGAAGGATGGTGAGCCCGTTAAACATCCCTGGAAAGGCAAGTACTTGAGAAAATATTATCAATGAATCGAGCACTTGTTGATTGAATTAAAAATAATAATTCACTCTTATTTAGGAACTTATCCCAGTCCAACATTTGAATTCTTGGTATGCTAAACCAACCAAGTTAATTAGTTACTGTACAAGCTCAACAAAATTGAATAACGGTTGAGATGCAAAAAATATGACAGGAGGGAAATTCTTATTAGTAAAAAGAAAAAGTTACAAAGAAATAACATCTATGAAATAAATCTATCACATAGCCAAAAGGCATATCTATGAATTAAACTACCTTGCTAAGAACTCTTGAGTAAAAAGATAAGTGGAAGATCAAGAGTAAAGTTGACCCCTTTTATCCAAAGCAGCCTCTAAAAGTTAACCACACGTTTGTCGGGAAGGAAATACATGAGAGTTTATCACAATATCTAGATGCATGCTTGCATAGTGGTCCCTTGCACATAAATATCCATGGAAAATGCAAAAGCATGGCAAACTTACCATCTTCTAGATAATATACGGAATTGAAATTGGAATTGCAGATATATGAATGTTGCATGACCGGAGAAAGATTGAGACAATTGTAAGACCTTGTCCGGTCACATAAGCTATTGACATAAGGCCTGAAGGTGATTCATCAGAAAAATATAGTGGAATAAAAAGCAAAAGTGAATGACTGATAACAATGCACAAAAGGATCCTCGGAAATATAAGAGGTTTCCATCCAAAATCAACATTGAGCAAAATATCAAAATACATCTTCTAAAATTAGAAGTAGGGTTGGGCATGGTCCGGTTCGGCTTGGATCTAAAGAGAATCAAACCAAACCCGAAATTTTCAAGTATTTAGTAAATGGAACTGTCGGGTCTATATTTAATTATGGAACCGTTCGGGTTCGATTTTATTCGGTACAATTCGGTTTGATTTGTTCCGGGTTTCGTACAATAATTAATTTTTTTTATATTACAACAACGCTATATTAATTCGACTATGACATTCAATATTAACTTTTACAAAATAATGTAGTTCAATCTCGTGATATCTTCTGTACCTCTCTTTGTTGAGTTCTTCATAGACTTAGCTGTTAAAATCACAGGAAGGGGAAAATGACTAGTTCACAATAATAGAACGGTAGAAACGATACTATGGTATAAGAGATTTAGATAAAATTTAGGTCAATTTAATTAAGTTGGGCTTGACTGAAAATTAGAAATAGTAAAATCATATTTTGGGTTTGGACTTAATTAATTAGTTAGCAATTTATTTAAAAAAATAAAATAATTTGACTTGTCTAAAATAAAAAATTAAGAAAATATATGGAGATTCAGTTCTTGGTCTAGAATCGAGAACCGAACCAAACATGTCGATTCTCGATTCAAATACACATTCAATTCAGTTTGGTTTGGATCCGGTTCTGTTCGATTCGGTCAAGGAGTTTTGTCTAGTCCTGATTAGAAGAATGAAAGCAAGTTATAACATGGCGCATATGTATAGTATAAAAGAGAGCCATTGAATCCCAATGGATTCGTCACCTGAAATGTCACACAATCTTAGCTATTGAATACGAAAAGACACGAAAAACAATGGTTGTAAGCAAGCATATAACACGTGTGGAATTGAGAAAGTCAAAAGAACATTACCTAGAATCATGCATGAATTAGCATTAAAATATTTAAAAACATTCCATTTAGCCGGAACACCAAAAGCCCAGCCAATAAAAAATGGGCGAAGTCATCAGAAGAGTTCACGGACCTAAAATGTTGTACAACTAGATATAATATAAATAATAAAACCGTACTTTGTGAACTATTTATTGAATCCAGAAATATACTCCGCGAATCTCGCTCATCCCAGGCAAAGCAAAAGCCATATGCAAAGGAGGTACAAGCGTATAAGGGTCGCACCAAATAGGCGAACCTATCATCGTCTAAGCTAGCTGAATATTGTTATCAAGACACAAGGCAAACGTTTAGCGCATGAATTCAGAGTAATACATGATACATAAGATAATGAATAAAATGTGATATCATAATAGAATCTATAAATTAGTCAATAAAATACGGCCAGCTGTTATTCCTCCATGACCAGATTACCCATAGTCTTGGAGTAAAATGTATAAACGCTTCCACTTATGAAGGAAGGGATGAAATTCAAATAATTCACGCCCAAATAACCATTTTTCCTCTTCCTCAAAGTTTGAGCATCGAAACTAGTGAATTTATGGGATAAAAATCCTCGCTAAGTGAGAAGATTTGTTGATGTGATTTCTATAGTCAACAATGTCATTAAATTGTTTAATGCAATATGACATGAAAATATAAAAAAGAATAAAGAACGTCCTCTAGATGTTTTCCTCGAAGTTGCATAACTTGGTACGACATGGTTCTACATTTAGTGTAAGGTGTACAGACATAGGGAACATGCACTGATTAACTCTTCCTTTTAGGGATTCTCAGTTCCTGGCTTAGAATTTTATGGTCAGCTGAAAATCTTTCTTGACCATCTCTTACAAATACAAAAGCATACACACACTGTATCCCATGTCGAACCCCTATATCATCATTTACATGTCCCTGGTAAGTGACAGCTCTTCCTAGTAGTGCCTGTGAAAACTCTATTTCCCTTCTCCGTGTGTGTATATTATAAAAATGGGGTTTGGGAGTGAGTGTAATATTGAAGGAGATTTACTTGCTGGAATTCCATGGCCTCCAAGATGTTATACATGCAGCTTTTGCAAAAGAGAATTCAGATCTGCTCAAGCACTTGGTGGCCACATGAATGTTCACAGAAAAGATAGAGCCAGGCTAAGACAGCACTCCCCACCAACGGAAAATTATAACCAAAATGCTCAGTTTTCACTTCTAAACCCTGACCCTAATCTAGGTGTAAGCCCTAAACCTAGTTTTTCATCTTCACCTTCATCTCCATCTGCAACATCATCCTTTTTGAGAAAATTTCCCCCTTTCAATTCCACATTACCTACATTAGTTTCTCCCTCCTTTTCAACTCTATCACCTTCATTTTCTTGTGCTAGTGTCTCTGAAATGAAGAAATGGAGCAAACAAGTTGCAGCTTCAGTCAACCATTCAAGTCCCCCAACAGCAGATTTGATGAAAATGAAAACTATGAAGACATATTTCGGGGTCAAAAATTTCGGTTCGCTCGTGCATGAAACTACATGTGAAGTCAAGAAAGCAGACATAGTTAACCTGGATTTGGAAATAGGCCGGAATAGTCAATCAGAGGACTTGGATTTGGAACTCCGGCTAGGATACAGTTAGCAGCATATTATTGATGTACTTCCTCAAGGCTTCGCTTGTGCATGAAACTACATGTGAAGTCAAGAGAGTAGAAATAATTAAACTGGATTTGGAAATAGGCCAGAATAGTCAATCAGAGGACTTGGATTTGGAACGCCGGCTAGGATACAGTTAGCAGCATATTATTGATGTACTTCCTCTAGGCACCTGGTTTAATCTACTTCGAAATGGTCATGTAATATATGCACTTCAATTCCTGTCTAGATTAATATAATCCATTTTTGGTTTAATTAGCAATTGATCCTATTAAACTTGTTATATTTGCTGTAATTCACACATTTGTCACTCGTATTATAAAATAAACTAGTTGTTTAGCATCTAACGTCCATTATTTTACAAATTTTTGGGAAGTCTGATGCATGATCCTGAGGAATGGAGCACCATTAGCATATAGCTTATTGGGTAATTGCTAACAAATGAGATCGGATATGAAGTTCATAACAAGTAAATTGTGTGGTTTTGGCACGTTTGATAATGTAGATTAGGCATCTTAGGGTGCAACAAGAATGCTCTTAAGTCCACGCGTTGAGTCACTCAAATGTTGGTGATCATGAAAAAATTAGTCTACCCTCACTTGAATCAATTGATTTTCATATGAGATAATTGAAACTCGATCCTAATAAGTGGTATGACAGTTAGGTCATGGTTTGAAAACAAAAGAACGTCACGTTGAGGGAAGAATTGTTGGAATGCAACAAGGTCACTCTGAAGTCCATGGGTAGGATCATTGAAATAATGGTGTTTGAAAGCTATAAAAAGATTTAGCATGTCCTCACTGGACAATATCAAATATGAAAGTAAATTAAAATTCTTGCAATTACATTGTTCATTGTTGAGTACCATCCACGTACAGAACATGGGCCTGTCAAGTATAGTTAAAACCCTCTTCCATTCCTACTTGGTGGAACGCTCTAGGAAGTCGATAAGTATCCGAATATATATAGCTAGAGGGGATTGATTTACTTCGAAAGAATCACTTTAAAAAACTCTTAAGCATATTGCTTCACTACACGATATTGAAGCTGATACCTACAAGTTACAAAACCCACACAACCTCAATTTTTAAGTCAACATGTAGAATAGCTCCAAAGGCTATATACTTTTCTCTTTTTTTTTAGTTCAAGTATCATAGCCTTCATCAAACTTCGTGCATGTGTGACGCATTTAATGAAGAAGATGAAACTTAGTATGTGATGAGCCATTTTGAAACAAAATATTACAAAAAAATCAAACTCATTTTTAACGTTGTTAAACTTTAGAGAAACAGTTGAACAATTCCAAAAAGTATTTAAGCAATCCTCCCTATCATTCATGTATATTGTCAGCATGTGCTCAATACATAGTACATTAATGACGGTTCCCATGTCAAATGATTCTAAGTGATACTAATATTGTTGGGCCCGTGGAGCTTTTCCTAAAATCTGATAGTTTGCATGTTCCCAACAATGTACAGGGTGTCAAATGAAATGATGACATTTCCTTAAACAAAGAATGACATGTTTTGTCAGTTTGAAAAATACTTATTACGGAGAATTGAGAGGACCCTCCTTTGTTTCCCAAAATAGTATTCGTGACATTTGAATACTTACAAAAAAGCCCTAACCCCTTACCTCTTCTGTTCTTTCAATTTCTAAGCCATTAGATTTTATACTTTTGAAGAACTCATCATTAAAGGTAGAGACTTCAGAATTCTGCAGGATATTTTCCAAGTTGTCATTGGTCAATCATCTTGTCAAATCAGATGAAGAATTATATGAAGTGTGATGCAGCACACACAAGTTCCAAGTGAACAATATTCGACATTTATTTAGAAAGACAAATGTCGAATTAGTATTGAGACATCGCTCACTATATAAAATGTTAATTGGAAGACAATTTGACTAAACCTTACGACTTTCTGACTATAACTTGAAACTGGTCAAGGCCTTGACTCATTGGAATACAGGAAAACTAAATGTAACAAATGCATAAATTATTGAAATGGCTAAATCGTGAAAGCTTCCATCAAGTAATCTGCTGGTTTATGGTGGATGACATTGGATTTTGTAAGAAAATGGGAAAATTACAATTGAGGCATGTGACCCTTTAAAGATAATTAGTAAGACGCACGTACAATGCACGTGCCATAATATAGTTAGTTATATGATAGCGTAAATATGAAAAAAATATATTTGTCTTAAACATTAGTTACAATAAACTTAAAACATTTGAAATGATGATAGGCGACAAAAATAATATTAAGATATTTGATTCAAAACTTATTTTTTAGACTTTGCGTTTGAAGGTCTCTCTGTTACTTTTAAAAAAAGACAGGACATAGATGATTAGGTGTTGATACCCCGTTAAAGAGATAATGAAGTTCAATCTAGCCCTCTTTTTTCTAACTATTGAGGTAAGACATTATGTCTCCTTCATTTCATGCTCGTAGACTTTCCAATTACATGTATTAGTTGAACTAGTATTTAATTTCTTTACCAAGACCCTATGCAAGACGTATGTAGTAAAGACTAATTAATTAATGATAATACAGTGCAAAATTTAGGACAAATCAAGGGTCTCTATCAGTATTAAAATCACAACACAACAAAAACTTCATTCATAGAGGCAAAACGAATGACAAACGATCACCTAATTTCATAAATTCCGTCGAATATCTTTTCAAAATGTTTTAATGATACTGTACATTAAATTTATTTAAAAAAAACCAAAATAATTCACTTCATAGAAGATGTTTGTCTACCAGCACTGCATGATTTAGGAGGATTCTTCTAAAAATCATTGAGTTCCTTCAATATCCAATTCGACGCCATAAATTTACGATTTTTAATTGTAAAAATCGAAGAAAAAAGAAATTGAGAGAAATTGGTGTGAGTATGAGATAGAAAAGAAAAAGTAACGATTATGATTTTACGTTTAGTAATTTAAGATAATTTTTATATTTAAACTTAATCAACAATATATTTATTATTATCACATTTTAAGTTTTTTTTTAAAAACTTAAATCGATTCAAATGGATATTCATATCGTGAAATATAGAATCAAACGAAAAATTATAGGAAAATAAAGTTTAAAAAAGGACATTGGAATGGAGTTGGGATTGAAGAGAAACATAAACAATCACGACTTTACGTTTCACATGTAAAATTATTTTTGATATTTAAAATTTATAGATCATATATTTATCATGGCCGCACTTCAACATTTCCAACAAATTATAAATCGTTTAAACGAATATTTGTAACTTAAAAAATACTGAATTAAAAAAAGGCTTAGCCGAGCCGAGCCATAAAAATACTGAATCAAACGTGTAAAAAAAAAAAAAGGCTTAGACAGTTTACCCAAGCTGAGCCAAGCCATAAAGTAATTGGGTCGGCTCGACTTATGAACATTAACCACCGAGTGGCTCTTTTATTTACGTAGGATAGGAAAAATACCTCAAATAAAAGAACCAATGGAAGGGATATACCATTTTAGCAGCATTAGAGTTTCAAACTAGTTGGAATCTTTTGTAAAGTTTAGAAAGTTATGTACCAAAAAATTGAATGGAGACTCAAATGTTGTTCATTTGTATTTTTTAAAATAAAATTAATCCATCTTGTTTTGGTTTTCTTATTTACAGAGTTAACATAGACATAGGAGTTAAGTCAAAAAGAACTTGACCAACCTTCAGAGATTCAACATGTTTGCAAATTTGGGAAGAATAGAATTACAATTATGTGTGATCCCAATTTTAATATATTTTCCTACACGTTAAAATAATGTTTGAACTTCATTTTCATCATTCATCAAAATATACCGAGCAAAGTCTGGTGTGATCATTTATGAAAGTTACGCACCATTTTTTTTCACAAGATGATGTAATTTTTATCGAGGATTATAAGTAGTTTGATGACTCTTAAAATAGAAACTTTCACATTCAAATGATGAACAATCCTTAATTTTACAAAATGTAGGAAATAGGTAGTTTAAATAAAAAAACAATTGATACTAATACGAAAGTCTTGAGTTTGTTTATTTTACAAAGGATTGTCGTCGAATAAGTAGAGTCCATCCACCATTTTAGCACTACCAATCATCATCCCATTCTCTGGTCCTGAAATTCACAATGGTAGTGAAGAAGAGCATACAACAATTAGAGTCCTTATAGAGTTGACTAACAGATAAGAGATTACAAACAAGGTCCGGGTCATGAAAATCGTTCCTTTCCAATTCTCCATTATGTTTAGTAATTGTTGTTTGAATGTCATTGTACCTTAAATTTAGGATGAAAATCATGTATTAGAGGTACACAAAAGATAAAAGTTGAATGCACACCGTGAAGCTTAACCAACACCGAACGGACAAAGAATTGCATGAACGAAGGGAAAAAGACAATGAATTTCACTGTTTTTTACTTAGATTCATTTCTTTTTCCTTTTCTTGGCATAAGCGAGACATGATGACCCTTTTTATGCTATACTTTAAACAAAACGTGCCAAGTATCCTAATGAAAACTTATCAAACTATATACAATGTAAATACTTAAAGCATAGTAAATAAGAATGTAAGAATTTGAGTTGTCTTTCAATAAGATTTTAATTTAAAGACTCTAACTAGACTTTGCAAAGAGATTTTTCATGGTGGTTCAAACCGGGTTTCATTGGTCTTGCATTGATCACAGTATTCGGTATTGCCAACTCCGTTCTCGACTCTCCAACTTTGCAAACCACATTTTTTTCCCTCAAGATTCCAATTATTCCACCTATTTCTTTCTTGTATTGTCACTTTTCACGATTATTCAAGTCCTCTTTTTCACTTTTTCGGGTTTCCTCAACATGATATGGTTTTTCGACCTTTGTGCACACATTGAACGTTTCTTGCTCATCATCTACCCTTAAAATCAACTCACCCACCTCAAAGTCCATCACAACTCGGCTCATTGATAGGAATGATTATAAGATATTTTCTCCTGACAACTTCT